AAAAGGTACCCGGCTCTCATTGAGATTAAAATGAAAGAAAACGCAAGGGACATACAAAAAGACATCTCAATCAAAAGGAGTCGAAGGGGCTCCAATCTAATAAAAATAAGATCTAACGGATAATTACAAAAGTCTTTAACAACCAAGCCAAAAGAGAAACATGAAATATAATGAGAGACGAAACCTCCTCTCAAGAGCTGTCCGCTCTCTAAAACTTATATTGTCTCTCTATCCACAAACCCCTAAAATAGCATGAACCCCAACGAGTCAAAGAAAATGATCCTTCTCATGAAAGGGTGGACTAGAGAGCTGTTCCTTTGTCAGTGCTGTACCAACTTCCTGGGCGAGCAAGGTTGAAACCAAACTCACCAAAGAAAAAACTGTTCCAAACCAAGTAGGCAAAATGGCAGTTCCAAAGATGATCAAGATCCTCCGCCACCCCTACAAAGGATACAACATTGCAGCCCTATCAACAAGGAGGACTTCCTCAACACCCAATCCAGAGTATTAACTCTACCCGGAAGAACCTGCCACATAAAAAATTTAACCTTCTTTAACCTTTCACAGCAGGAGAAGACAGGGAATTGGGGGGGCAGGAGAAGACAGGAATTGGGGGGGCAGGAGGGATCCATCAAACCATGGAAGGAGCATTAAGAAAAAACTTTCGAAGGACTATTGGGGCTGTAAAAGACTGAAGTTTACCTGCAGAAATGGGTAAACTAGTACAAACCTGATTCAAAGTACTATTTTTTAGTCTATTCTGAGAAAGATTATGTCAAATTGAAGTAATAGAAGTGGAGATAATTGCTTTGACGTCAAAATATGAGGTGATTTTGCATACTAATGCTTTCACAGTGGACCTCAAAGGAAGAGCGAAGAGGAACTAAAATTTGAATTCTCCACCTCCTTTGATCATGAACCGAACTAGCAGCAGCCAATCTTACCTTTAAATTTCATAAAATTGAAGTTGTAGCTTATATACCAATTTTATGCTTATTCTTACCCGGTTCTTAATCTCAAAATTTTGTTATCCCACCATGCATTTAAGTTGATTTGGTTTGAAAGGCAAAGGCACATGTACTATTTTGTTTTTGGTTTTCAGTTTACTAAGCTCGTGTACTAACATCCCTCTTTTCTTTTTGTCAATTTTGAGAACAAACGAAAACTATGGACTCGTTTGAAAATGGCTTTATTTTCCATTTGTAAAAACTCAGTTTGTTTACCAACAATGTCTAGATTTTGCAGGACTACTATTTGGTTTTTAGAATTTGAATACGATTTTAAGAACATTTTCAAAAGTAGACTAGAAAACAACGAAAGTCATTAATGAAGAAGTATTCTAGTTAAGAAACAGAAAACGAATCACACAATCATTATCACACGAGCTGTTCCATATATATTGTTGAAAAGCAAGCCTTCTCTGATTATGTCGTTTCCTTTTGTTCTCTTTAACACATTCTTTTATCTATCTTAAGCTGAGGGAGTATGTAGATGACACAGAAGATTACATCAACATAATGCTGGATGACAAACAGAACCATCTTCTACAAATGGGAGTAATGTTGACAACGGCAACCCTCGTTGTGAGCGCCTTCGTCGTGGTGGCAGGTATCTTCGGCATGAACATCCATATCGAGCTGTTCGAACCAGAAAAAGCAGGTATGCCAGAGTTCCTGTGGACTGTTGGTGGTGGCGCTACAGGAACCATCTTCTTGTACGTCATTGCCATTACCTGGTGCAAGCACAAACGCTTGCTTGAGTAGTTCGACAAAACCAAAACGTACTACCAATGGTATAGTTTGCTTGATGAAAAAGCATATATAGAGTAAGACAACGTTCAATACAAATTATGTATTTTAATGTCATGTACGGCTGTGTTGAAATAAATTGAAGCTTTGTACAAGCCATTGATTTGTTTCATACTGTTAGCAGGTACAAGCTAATTGTATAAGTTGCATAAGTTTTATGCTTAATTTAGTCCCTCCACTTTGGTTGAATTTCTAAAATTTGGGTAGAAATATGCTGCTGATAATTTTTTCATTAATTGTTTAATACAAATTTGAATCATTTTCAAATTTAAATGTTTGTAATAGATGATATATTTTCGTCGAGTAACTATCTCAGACACAGGGCTCGTGTTCGGTTTTTGTCGAATAATTTATGAAATAAGGTGTCGTTTGTTTTTTAGAATGTAGATGATCGGCATCTAGAGATGTCTGGAATTTCAGATGTCTGGAATGTTAGATGTCCCACATGTTCAAATAACTACGTAGGAATATTTTTAAAAATATCCAGAGTATTTGGATAGCTATGCAAAAATATCCTAATAAATATTTATATAATTTATAAATTCATCAAATATAATAGATTTATTTGAATTAATTTAATATTTGTATTTTTTATATGTTATTTTGTAGAACAAATTAATTCATTATTAATTTAATGTAAGTTTCATTTTCAACTTTAATAGTTTTCTAAAAAGACAATTATGTAATTTATGTTTTTATGGGATAAAATTTATTTATCTTATCATCACATTATATTTTTTTTAGGAGGAAAAACATCACGGGTATGTTGGCTATAAAAAAAAATGTTGTTTTAAAATTATATATTTATGATAATAAATATTATTAATAATGTAATTTCTTCACAATATTAAAAATAAATCTAATGTACAAATATACTAAAGTTATTTATTAGACGATGAGTATATTAATTTATAATTAAAAAAAATAAATTTTTTAGGAAAAATTAAAAAAAATGATCAAAGAAAATAGATGGAGAAAAAAATAGATGACAAAAATGTAAAAAGTGGGATGCCCTTTTGAAACATCCGTGTTGAGGGCGTCCACTTTTTACATTTTTGTTGTCCATTTTTTCCTCCATCTATTTTCTTTCATCAATTTTTTTAAATTTTTCTTAAAAAATTTATTTGGTTTCTAAGATTCCCGTGTTGAAAGCATCCAAAACTCGTAAAATGCCTCCCGTATGGGCATCCTAGGATACCCGGACATCTCGAGATACCCTGGTATCTCACATTACTACAAAACAAATGTGGGAATCCAAGATACCCGTCTCATCAGAATCGATTCGCACGAAACAAACGGCCTTGTAATCATAAAAGCTTTTTTATACTTTTCAATTTTTTACAAGGTGAAAACCCATTATGCTTGGATAAAATCTTTGAATTGATCTCAAAACAACCTGCGTGTAAAATGTGGGCAAGACTATTTATAGAAAAATGTGGATAATTAAATTAAATGGATAGACTTATAACTTATAATAAAATAAAACGGTTTAATTTTTATAGTTAAATTATAAAAAAAAATGGTGAATTTTAGGAGATGTTTTGGATGGGCGATCCTGTGCATCGACCTTACTTAATATCGTGTAAAATTTTCAAATCGGTTAGTTTTAAGATATTTTTACCTTGATTTTTATTTAAATTAATGTTGAATTTAGTATAAGTTAAGCTTAAGGTAAAAATTTCAACTCTTGGATAAATATAAATTCAATTTCATGCAGATGATAAAAACTTGCCAAAAACTTTTTTTTTCCTATCAAGATTCCATGACAATGTATCTTTATAATTTTTGAAGTACTCCATGGTTATATTCTTAAAACATACGAAGTCAATCCAAATATAAATATCGAAGTTGGATTAAATACTATTTTGATCTATCTACTTTCGTCTTTGGTTAATTTTGGTCTTTGTACTTATAAAATGTCTATTTTGATTTTTATACTTTCAACTATTTTGGTCATTTTATTTTAATTTTTATCTAATTTATTTTGATCAAAATTTAAGCATGACACTTTATTCAAATAAATATTAACTTGTGTTAAAAATTTCACTGAGAAGAATCAAAATGGTAAAGTAAAAGGATCAAAATAGTATTTAAATCTATCAAAATATTACAAAAGTTGAAGTAATGTAAAGGTATTGAACTAATGGCCGAGATAGGTTGGGTAAGTCCCAATGGGTAGTTACTCATCTCTCTTCCACCAATTCGTTCTTTCAAGAATACTTGCTAGCATGTAAGAGAGCACCTACCACCTATTCAATGATGCATTGACGCTTTTGATGTCCTGTTTATTTACAAAGAATCAAAACGAGAAGGAATTGAAATGAAATCAATTGGAATGGAGATGTTATTTATTTTGATGTTGTTTACTAAAAATTTCTAGAATCAGAATCATAAATCTATTGATGTTGAAACAACACGAATGTGAATGAAATATATAATAATTACTAATTACATATGCTAATTATAAATATATTAATTAAAAACTATGCTAATCTTGTTTTTAATTAAAACAATAGTAAATTTTAATTTATTTTATTACTATCTCACGGATAATAAATATCTTTTATTATAACAATTTATTTAATAGTAACAAATGAGACCTAATTAAAATAAAATTACGTAAACTAAAAATGATTAATATAATTTTTAATAGAACAACCATCATTAATATAAAAAATTATTAAATTTTTATTGTTCTAAATATTTAATAATGATCAAGTTTAGTTTAACAATTACATTCATTTTAATTAATAATAAGTAAAATTAAATAATTGATAAATTAAATAGAAAATTGTAATATTATATAATAAAAAACATTAACTAAAAGCCTTGGTATAATTTTTTAATAAAAGAAACATATTAATAATACAAATAAATAAAGAAACAGTAAAACAATCCATAAAAGCCAACTTCACCTAACTCAACGAGTGACAGTATTCAAAAACAACTAACTCGAAATCTGAAAACAAAAAACATGATTCCATTTCTCTATCAAAACATGTCCTAAATTTTTTCTTTTCATCCCTTAAATGGAGTCTAAAAGAAGATAAAAAAAAAACAAAATAAATAGAAAAACATTTGAGTATTTGTACTTACAGCAAAATACCAATTTAATCTCTAACATGAAAAATTCTACTAAATTTTTATATGTTTGAATGGATAAGTCACTTCGAACTAAATATATTTTTAAATTAAAAAGACTAAATCTTTACAAACTAAATAAATATCATTATTATGGTAGATATGATACAATCTTTTTCATACCAAATATTAGTTGTTACAAAATTTTCAACTAAATTATTACATATTAAAATTGTCAAAACGAGTATAATTTCGCAGTAATTACCATATATCTCAAATTCATGGACTAGATCGTTAACCATTTTGAAAAAGCAAGTATAAAAGGAGTGGGCTTGGGAACTTAAAAAAGTAATAAAAAAAGAATTGAAGAGGCATATGGACCAAGAAAGCCTCATCTCTTCGTTCAACCTCATCCTCAAAACTCAAAATTGAAATCTGACCGTTAGGTTTCCGATGAGTTCAATCGGCCAAAGCATTCTGATGGCGCTCGCCGTCACCGTCAACAAATTCGCTTCCTCCAACGTTCAATCCGTCCACAGAAACCAATCAGCCGCCGCCGCCGCTTCCGACATCGGAAGAAGAGGCCTCCTCTTCTCCGCCGTCGCCGCCGCCGTCGCCCCCGTCGACTCCAGAACCGAGCTGCTCAAAAGTTCTGCGTTCTTCTCTCTGTTTTTCTTCTTTTAATTTTTATTTTTGGAAATTATTTTTTCTCTTTTGTTACCTAATTGTTCATTTTTCTCAAGTATTGTAATTGTTATAGATAGACCGATTTTTTTATCATCCCAATATTTCAAAAGAAAAGAAATATATAGTGTATGTTATAATTTTCTTCGTCTTTTTTCATTTTTTAAATTAATTTCTTGATTTTTCTTACAGAATTCAATATTTAAAGTTTAAACAAAGTATATATTAATTAGAATGAAAAATCATGATATTTGCAAGCTATCTACTTGCAATTTAAAAATGTGCATTTTTTTGAAAAATTATTGAGGATTTTTCATATTTAAATCTAATTGTGTTTACATGCATTCTTCTTTTATTAATTTTTTAAAATTATTAATCTTTATAATATTGAACTCTTAATTATTTTGTTATATTCGTGTTCTAATACTTCATGACTTTTCTTTGGATAGGGTATCTCAAGAAATCTGAACAAAACAAAGAAAAAAATGACAAGGAGGTAAAGCTTTTGTAATTTGGGCTTTTATTTTATTTTACTAAAATATCCAAATGTTTTCCCTTTTTTGGATGGTAAAAAAAATTATCCTGCGTGAGTATTAAGAAATTTTTTTTTTTTTTGTAGAAAATTCATCTTTCATTACATCTAACTATTAGATGCAAAAAATCTCGACTTTTCACAGAGATTGGATAGTTACTACAAGCGAAATTACAAAGATTATTTTGAATTCGTTGAAGGATCGGTGAGGAATAAGAGCGAGCTTTCAGAAACTGAGAAAGACATTATTGAGTGGCTTCGACGAAACAAGTGAAACTCACGTTCATCTATTAGATTGTTCAATTTTTAGTCTAGATTTCGTTTAGTAATGATTTTGTTTTTACTTTTATGGCTTTTGAATCTAAGCTTGTTGGATGATATTTTTCGATTGGAAAGAAAATGCAAAAACCATTGAACTATAGAAACGGTTATAGCAGTTGGCCCTCCAAATTAGTTTGATAATTATAGGATTTTGTTGCAAATATTTCATAAGTTAGAGAGATAATTACTACTGAATTGAATGTGAGTATCTTGACTCTAGTGTTCCACAGTGATTTTGTAATTTTATTTTTCTTTGTTTAGTTATTTTTCACATTCTAACTGAAAAAACAAAAAAACTTGTTTTTTTTTTTAAGTTTTAAAAATTTTGTTGGAATTTTAAGAACATGTTTTAAAAAATTGTTAGTAGTGGGAAAACTTGATGGAGATGACAATGTTTTTTTATTTTTTATTTTTTATAATTTAAATCTTCTATTATCTTATAAGCGTTTTAAATTCAATGTTTCCTTTTCATTTTGGCATTTATGATGTTTCTTTTTTTAAATGTGAAGAAGGATATTTTTTAATTGAGTGATGCAGTTTTATTTAAAAAGAAATATTATTGGTGGGAATCAAAATACTGACTTTATGAGAGGAAAAAAAAAGGTTAAATGAGAGATATTTTGTTTATGCATAATGATATAGCATTGTGTGATGTACTAGTGAACAAACTTTAAAAAAGTTTCAAATATGTGTTTAGGACTTTAATTATGCTTATTTTTAGTTATGGTTGTAAATATTGAAATATTGGAATTATAGATGTAATATACATATGAAACTTGGGTCGGGTTCGTCTAATTTTGCAAGTAGTATTAGAAGAAAAATAGAAATGAATAAGACTCAATCGGTTGAAAATAGTAACATCTTTCAATCTAAAACTCCCAATTTCTTTAGGAAATTGACTTTTGGAATTTCATCGAGACAAACAACATTAAGACTCTGTTTACTTACACGAAATAAGAATGGGAATGAATTGAAATGAAAATCAATCGGAATGAAATCAATCAAAATATGAATGTTATTCATTTGATGTTGTTTTCTAACTTTTATGGAATCAGAATAAGAAATTCTTTGATATTGTTTACTAACACTGTCTTGATGGAATATATAACAATTACTAGTATATTGTTTTCCTATTTTTAACTAATTATAAATACATTATTATGCTAATTTTTTAGTTAAAATGATATTAAATTTTAATTTTCTTTTTACTATTTTATTGATAGTAATTTTTTTTTGTATTGATATTAATTAATTACTAATAACAAAGTAAAATTAATTAATAAAATCATATCAACTAATAAAAATCATATAATTTTTTATTAGAAGACAAATTATTAGTAGTATACATACAAAAGAAATAGTACAAATACAAAACAATTCATTAAAAAGTAACGCATCTCATTAATAGACGAGAGAGAAATGGTAAAACTTGTAAAATAATAATTATAAAAGCATTAAATAAAAAGAAGGAACGAGTATGAGAATGAAGTTTAAGAGAGGAATGAGATTACACTCTTTTAAGAGGGAGTGATTACAAAGCTGTTTGACATGGGTCGACTAGTTGAGATTTCATTCCTACAATTTAGTAATTTGCATTCACGAATTTCCACTCCCTTGAAGTAAAGGGCCTGAGCACCTCGAAATTTAGAAGGTAACTTAAAAGCAACTCATTGAATGAAAATAAATAGAGAAAATCTCCCGACAAAGATTTGTTCGGTGTAAAACCATGCATATTTGTTTTTAGTACTTTAATCTTGGTCTATTGATTTTCAGTAATCAATTAGTGTTTTGATGATAACAAATATACTTAATACTATTTGTTTTTTATTTATTTTAAACATCAATATATAATTTTACAAGTTTTAAAAATAATAAAAATTTGAATTCAAACTAATTAAAGAAGTTTGAGGAAGAAAATAATTTCTTCCTATCGAATAGAAGTTTTAAAAATAATAAAAACATCAATATCATTTTTTCGTTATAATACTCCATTCAATAATTTTACCTATGTATATTTTTTAATGAATTGGATTAGATCTTTTTCTTTTTTAAATGAGTGACTGAGATTCCTCTCTCTAGGAGTGTTCAAAAGACCCGACAACCCGACGAACCCAACCCAATCCGGTTGGGTTGGGTTCAATTAAACCTCGGTTTGGGTTGGGTTGAAAATTCTCAACCCGATCGGGTTGGGTTGGGTCTCGGGTTAGCCCTTTAAAAATTCGGATTGACCCAACCCAACCCGAATTAGACTTATTTAATAATATATATATATATATATATATATATATTATATTTATATTTATATTTATAATAAATATATAATATTTTTATTATCTTTAATCTCAACCATTCCTTGAACTTTAATCTTAGCCATCCATTTTAGGGTTTTCACTCCTCTTTACTCACCTTCCTCCCTCCCTCATTTTGATTAATTTCATCCTCCATAATTTTCTCTTCTCAATAGTTTTCTCTCCTCCATTGTTGTCTCCTCACCCAAGCTCCACGCTACAGCGTCGCCGCCCGTTATCCGCTACATCTGTCGCCGCCGTCGCCGCCCCTGTGTCCTATCGCAGATCGTCGTCATCGCCCCTGTGTCCTACCGCAGATCGCCGCTGCTGCCCCTGTGTCCCGTCTCGGCCCGTCACCATTTGTCGTCGCAGCTGCTGGTGTCTGCAGTAGCTACCATGTAATTTTTTTTTCCTTTGAAACAGTAGCTGCCTTGTAATTTTTTGATATTTTTTTTATAACGTGACAACCCGACAACCCAACCCGATCCAACCCGAAACTTTTGGGTTGGGTTGGGTTGGGTTGACCATCAATCTTTAACTCGTCGGTTCCCCCATATGGCCAACCCGAATTTTCCCAAAAATACCCCCAACCCAACCCGTGAACATCCCTACCTCTCTCCATGATTTTCTTTTTGGTGTATGCATTTGTAACTTAAAAAGAAAAAATATATAATCAACTACAAAGATCAAGTCCACTATTAATATGAATGACAAATCATAATTTTTTATCAAATTTTCTTCATAGAAAAAGTCCAACCATAAAAAATTCTGACTACACGCTTCTCTTGTCATTCTCACTTTTTCTTCAGTACACATATTAGGGAGGATATTCGAACTCATAATCTTGTGGTTGAAGGTATATGTCAATTACAGGTTTTTCTTGTCATTCTCACTTACTTCTACTGAGTTCTACGTTTGCTAATCCAATAAATACCCACATAAATAGTGTACCTTTTGTACTTCTAATAATGTGTAAGTAACTGTGTTATAATTTTCCTTTTCTATGGCATTTTTTAAGTTCAAATATGGAGTGAGTGTTTGAAGTCATGATATTTTGATCGATGATATATGTCTTAACCAATTTAACTATATTCGGGTTGGCTCTCTTTTCAGTGACTAGATTTTGCTTTTTACGTGCTCGAATGTCTCAAACACATACTTTGTGTCCTATATGCCATTTGTGCATCTTTTTTCGTAATTTTCTTCAAAAGTATTAAGATTTAGTCTTCTAGTTCAAGGATTTTCTAAGCACAATACCATGGAAGGAAAACCCTTTACCCAATAATCAAACCTCTCTCCATGGGCTAAAATAAGCTTTCTAGGCTGTGGTTTGTCAAACTTTCACAAATCCCAGGGTCCATTTTTTGCATTTTCTTTTGTTATATTATATGTTTCATCTACCTCTATTCTTAAAATAAGATCAGTTTAACCTAAGTTTGACTCACAGCTAGTTAAGGAATATATCCTCAACCAAAACTTCGGAAGTTCGAATCTCCAAACTTTCATGTTGAGGTTCGTTTTGATAATTTCCAATAATCTTTCCCTTGAATAAAAGACAACAACAAGCATCTCAAATCAACTCCCTGCCTCATTTGAAAGGGCTTAACCATGTATCATATTGTGGAATAACTCAACGTGCTGAGTATGAGAACTTCTTATCTTCGAATTTCGAAAAGAATTAGCATACTTCATCTTTAATGTTTGAACCCTAATAAGAAACGATCGAGTTCCATAAAAACAAGCATAATCCAAACTTGAAAATAACTAAAATACTAATAAAAGTAAAAGATAATAAATAAAACAAGTGGTAAGTGGTAAACACGTAATCTATGGGTGGCTACTCCAAAGTACTTTATTATGAGGTAGTATATATATTATTATGGGTAGCTTCTCATTGCACAACCACTATGTTTCATTCGTGTGGAAAGTATTGTATCCACTTAAGAACTCTTTTGTCACGCACTTAATTAACCATCTTTAGGTTCCTAAGTAAGTACTCAACTAGTAAGAGATTTTGAAGATTCAAAATCAATACAACTAAGTTTAGGACATGACCGCTTATACCATCTTTTTAGTACAACAAATGCAGGGATGAAAATTGAATATTTGACTTCAAAGGAAGGAATAAAATGTTAGCTTAATTACTAAACTACGCTCGTATTGGCTTTATACCACTCATTGGGACAACACATACTTTTCACATATATTTTTTTTCCACAAGGGTATAAAAATGTTTGTCTACGTACTTTAAGCCTAAAATAATAAATCCATACCAACTTTGCTTCTAATTTCATCTCCAAAAAAGCTTCATTTGAAAGATCTTGTTCTCACTATGATCGTCCTTACAAGTGAATTGCTAAAGTTAGAGGCCAAGGTTGTTGAAATTAAAATTAAAGTAAAAAGATCTAACTCATGACAAAATGATTACTTTGGAGAGACTCCTGGACCAGTTCACCAATAATTGATGGTTCTAAAACGGCTAAACTTACGTTACATATAATAATAATACATAAGAGTTACATCGAGCCATGCAGGACAATCTCTCCCTTCTCCATATTAATTATGACTATTACCTTTACTCATAATGACTCAATTCCTAGTAGTAGTCACCGATGCAAGTCGGGTCCAAGCTGACAAGTGTTGCAGCAAAAACTGATGGCAAAAACGGAAGAAATCGGCCACATTCGAGTTACCTTCTAGGAAGATTCGTTTGAGTAGATACAAAAATTGCTCAGCACCAGTCCCGACAACTCTCGATGGAGCTAGTTGGGGGGCAAAAACCCTAAGAAGGTAGGGTTGAATGACAAACACAGATGATGAGACCACAAATATTGGAGTTATGGGAAGAGGGCAGTGGCAGTGACAGTGGTGGGTGTCCCAAATGGGGTTTAAGGGTTCTGTCACCAAAAACATAAACAAAAAACAGTACTCACCAACCACCAACCACAAACCAGGCTGCTGCCCTTTGCCCTTGTCTCAAAAGCCAATACATGTCTCTTCCATACTTCTTTTAACTCTCTCTCTCTCTCTGCAATCTTCTTTCTTTTGTTTTCTTGTGGGTAGGGATTTTGTTTTTATTTGGTGCTGGATCTAGTGAGTGGATTTTAACTTCAAACTTTTAATTTTATCTGTGGTTGACAACCTAAATTTCAACATACGAGTGGTTGAGTTAAATTAATATCTTCACTAAAGTTAAGTTTGTTCGTTCTTTTTAAGATTTTCTTTTTGCTAAAACTATGAGCGTTATAATCTTATGGCTAGATGATCGAGACTATTTTGTTTGGTGGATATGAATTCTTCTAGCCATATTAGCATCTTTTTAAAAGTTAGATTTAATCGCATTTTGTTGTTAAGTTTATGCGTGTTTTTCTACCTGTCAAATTTTGTGGTGAGGATTCAGGTGGGTGTTTTGTTAGTTGGTTTTGTTTGATTTGTGAACCTTTTTATTTTTTAGTTCTAATGAGATATTAGTTTCCCTTCGAGTTTGAATTGAATTTGATGATATTGAAAGTTTAGAATTCAAAGTTTAAATTCACTCTAGGGGAAGAAAATAACTTTTTTCTCAAAATTTTTTTCTATTTACACTTTAATAAAACTTTCATTACTACAACTTTTTTATTAATTTTTTTTTTGTAATCCTATTTTTGCCCCTCGACTTTTGTATTTGTATACCTTTTAGTGGTGAAGTTTCTTTTATAGAAGTTCTTTCAAAAGTCGATGAAGTTAAATTTATATGGTAGTACAAACTTGTATTTTAAATCAGCGGTTCCTATGAAATCTTGAAAGTACGTACATACATCAATTAATGATCAGTGAGATCAGTTTAAATCATTTTAATACTCCAAAATAACAAAAAAAAAAGTCTTTTAAGTTTAATAATTATAGAACGAGTTAGAGATCAAACTCAAGATAATTAATACTTTCAAAGTACATATATACATCAAAGAAATATATACACACATAAAGGTTTAACAATTTGTCTATTATTTATTTAATATATATACTTTTTTCAAATTAAATTAAAGAAAGAAAAAAGTGTTGAGAAATAGCTTCCATCCATCATCTTCTGTGTAGTTTGGATCAGATTGCCCATCACCATTGCATGCACCTTATCATCATCCTGTCTCATGCAACTTTGATCTCTTTTGTCTTATTTCAAAACATAAAACCCCTTTCAAACCCTCTCTCTCTCTCTCTCTCTATATAAAATCTTATCCAACCAAATTTAATATTTTAAAAATTTTAAACCTCACGTCGATATAAATATCAATATCTCAATTTTATACCGATGATCATGAAATCATCAATAAAATATTGATCTCGATAAATTTTTGTGAAAGAATTATATAAAGAAAAATCATAACAAACAATTAAATTAATAAATAAATATTCCATCAAGTTAAAATTTATTAATACATTCAGGATTTTATTTTTACCCATCATTTCTTCTCGAGTGTATATATATTTACATTTTTGTGGGTCATATCACTTTTTTGTACTTTCTGACATCACATATTTGTTTCGGAAAAAACTTGGTTGCATTGCACATAGCCGAAAATTAGCTGCATAAGTTGACTTTGTGATTTTCCCCCTTAATTCTCTAAATAAAGGGACTTGCTAAATTAACAGTGCTCTCCAAAATTTTGTTCAAAGTGTAAGAAGCGCGTTCTTTTTTTCTTTTTTCTTTTTTTTTTTTTCATAATCTTAATTTTAATGTATGGTATATTTTCCTAGTTGGGTGTTTTTTTTAAGGAGGGTTAAGAAAAATCATTAAGGCTAATTTGAACGCAGTACAATACAATAGGTAAAGGTGAAGATTCGAACTCACAATCTTTTGATCAGACATAAGTATTTTTAAGTAGTTAAGTTAACAAATACTGCGGAGGATTATAAATGAGTTAGATTTTACCATCTCTATCATCCAACTTTCAACAAAAAAACAAAAAAAGTTAAAAAAACACTTTTGGATACCGTACTTTCGTTAAAGTAACAATTTAGTCACTAAACTACTTTAGTTTGTAGCGATTTAGTCCTTGTATTTTTAAATTGGTAACAATTTAATCATTGAAATTTAATATGTAACAATTTAGTCATTGTAATTTAAAGTTGGTAATGATTTAGTCTTTATCGTGAAATTTTTTTGTTAAATTTCTTTTATATATAAATTGATAAACAAAAGAGGACCAAATATGTTTATAAATTAGAAAGATTAAATTTTTATATGATAAAAATTGACCCTTAATTTTAATAAAAAATTTTACGACAGAGAACTAAATTGTTATAATAATATTAAACTACGTGGACTAAATCGCTACAAGCTAAAGTTTATAGACTAAATTGTTTACCAACTAGAGTTCARGAACTAAATTGTTACCCCAGCGAAAGTATAGAGACCAAGTGTGTTTTTTAACTTAAAAAAAATTATTACATTTAAAACACAACAAGACTTCCTTGATCTTGACCCTTTCTTTTCTTTTCTAATTTTTCTAATGTTTCACTCTATACCCTCCTCCAAGAGAATCTAAAAAGTGATTCCCATAAAAAAAACAGAACTTGTATTTTGTTGATTAGTTGCGCCCTTGTGTCTTTATATTATTAAGAGGACGGGTTTTCATTGATGTGTTACATTTTTCATCGACACATCGATATTTTCATATATTCATGAGTTCAACATCGACATAAAAGATGAATCTACATTTCCATAATATCACAGAAAAATTGACAAAATATTATATATATATATTCAATATAATATCACTAATATGGACATAATATTGAATATTGATAATTTTTCACTCATTTAAAAGCATGTAAGATGCTTATTGGTTAATGCTAGATATCTTATAAGTAATCAAATTTACCGTAACTCTTTAGCTTAAGCTAGCTTTTGGATTTATTGATGATATAATCATGTTTAAGATGATATAAGAGCAAGAGGTCCAGTGTTCGAATCCCTGCAGACTTTCATATTGAAATAAGATTGGTTAGCTCGGTATGGTTTGCATTTTGTTGGTCTATTTGGGAATTGGATTAAAAAAATTAAAGCCACCTTTCATAACGCTATTTCATTTTTCGTTTTCTATATCGTTAAAAATTAAGTTTAGACTTTGACTTTAAAAAATAATTTCTATCGCTTTAATACAATCAATGGACGAGCAATAAAGGTCAATCGGAGTCTAACTCAATTGGTTAAAATATATATTGCCAATCAAATATCGCGAGTCCAAATTCTCACTTCCGCATGTTGTCGTATTAAAAAAATAAAGACAAAAAATAAAGCAAAATGATGAGGATTTTTTTTCGATTATTTTTTAATTTTCGGCTATCTAAATAAATTAACCCAACAACACCAATTATCTCAATCTAAAAAAAATCATTTTCAATTACAGCTATCAAATATTTAATCTTGTCTTGACAAAAGATTTTGATTGAAATATATTCATATACATAAAACAGAAATTTAAAATTTTAAAAGAAAATAGAAACTTAAATTTCCATACATATATAGAGCATTATATTAGTTTAGTATAAAGTTTCCAACATTTTTCAATCTATAGTGCAATATTTTTCTACATTATTTATTAGTTTAAATATTGTCTCTTCCTATATTATTTAATTTTGTTTTGAGAAATATAATTTTTAATTAAGTTGGAGCTATGCTTTTGGTAACAACATCATAAAATACTAAATGTTAAAAATTGTGTATATGACAACAATTCTATTACTAAGGAAGAGAAGAAAAATAATAATAATTAATTAACTAAATTGACATAAATAACACAGCAAACATACTTTAGAGATCACATATATATAGATATAGAACAAAAAAGTCATCACAAAAGAAAAAAAAATACTAAAAAATAATATATAAATTGTCGCTTCTATTCTCTTCCTCTTTTCAAACATATATGTTTATTTAGTACAATAATAATATTGTCATTTTTCGAGTGCCTCATGGCTACAACAAAATGTATTACAATCCATTGACAAGAAATTCAATTTGCAAGGAAAAAAAAAACTTTTTTTTTCTCCCTTGATGTATTATTTAATGTCAATGTCAAACATATATAGATAGGCAGAAACCATCTTTTAATCTCCCAATTAACCCTCTAATTGTTACCGGGAGTTGTAATCATATGATATAGCAATCGCTCATTATAATCTCTGAATCATTCCATATTGCCAAACAGTACAAGATCAAATCAACGAGAGAGCAATACATCCTTGATAAGCATATTTGATCTACCTCAACTCCGACTACTTCCCTTTAAACCACCTACGTTGAAGAGAAAGATGATGAAAGAAACAATGAGTTCAAAATTAAATCATAAATACTTAAACCCATAAAATTTTTTACTAAATTACAGTGTGAACTTTAAAAAATGTTAATTATATTTCTAAGCTATGTTTCTACATCAACTAAGTGTTCACTACTAAATTTTTTATCGCTACTTTGTTTTTTTTAAAAAAAATCTATATTTTATAGCCATCAAAATTAAACTTAACTGAATCAGTAGGAAAATATTGTCTTATTTTTATTTAGTCTACGTGGTTAAAACTATAAATTAAATATTTGATGTAGAATTCACACGATATAGCAACTAGAGACAAACTAATTAATATTTTCTGAGAAAATGTCCTATCAACATTTCTTAATGATATTAAGGGTAGAATTAAACAAATATAATTTAAAATTGTGACTAGGTAATTCAAATTTTTTAGAGCTAAAAAATGAGTAATTTGAATTATAATAATTTTTTTTTAAAGAGAGAGAAGGAATTGCTATACTGATTCTTCTGCCTTCGATTTCCAGATTGAGAGGATTGTCTCAAAGTGTTGAACTGGTTTTGGCAGCTTGAACTCTCCTGAAATATATTTAACGCCCAAATTAAATTAAATTTTCATGAACATCAAAATATTTTTATTTATAAAAAAAAAACTTTAAAAATAAAGACATAAATGAGAAATCCTCGAAGAAAAATAAATTGCTTTCGAGCATTGATTTTCCCTTTTGAAAAACAACAACCTTGGTATAACCATATTATCCAAAAACTTAAAAANTGGGTTTTTTATTTTTAATTCATTTTATATTTCTTTGCAGCCACTCCTTACTATTGACGTTTGGGAGGTAATGGATTATATACATGATTCTTTTCCTCTGTTTTTTCTTTTTTCTTTTTTCTTTTCCTTAAATTTAACAATAGTGTTTTTAAATAGTAAAAAATAAAAAAAAACGTAGAGGTGAGTATATATTATTAACTGAATTTTCATAATTAAGAAATTAAAAACAAAATAATAAATAAGTTTTTTTTTTAAATAATTGTAAAAGGAGACCTCAATTTTTAAGGGGTGTGAATGAGAAGATCTAAGAACAAGTTACAAAAAGTTCCTTAAACCAAAAAAAAAATCTAGAAAACTATTTTCAACCTTGATGAGTTGAACTAAAAAGTCATTTTCAATAATTTAAATACGAGAAAATAAATTTTAAAAAAATGAAAAACTGAGAAATAATAATATACAGATTCTCAAACAATAATAATAAAAAAGAAAAAAAGGAAATTGTACCGAATTGAAGTTGGGATCGGAGGTAGCAGTGTCATCAAGAAACGACGACGTTTGATTATCTGTCGGATCACGGCGCCGGCGTCGCCGTTCTTCAATTTTCCGGCCATTTTTGGGCAAACTTGGGCCAATTTCAGTGCCACTTTCCGGGAAACGAAATTCATTTTCCGGGAAATTAATTCGAGGCCCAGAAGACGCATCAGAAACCATAGACAAATCCACTTCTTCTTCTTCTTCAACTTTTATTCTTCTGCTCAAATTAGAATACGAATAATTAGAAGCAATCGGAGAATCAGAAATGGAGTGGTCCAAATACACAGTCCACCCGGATTCAGCACACCCTTCTGAAGAAGAAACAAAAAAACTACGACCATTTTCCATATGATGCCAACAAAATTTTCCCACCTCCCAAACGCACAACACAAATAAATGGAGAGAAAAGAAAAAAGAAAGTTTTTTTTTTAAATTTTATTTTTGGTTGAAGGGGTTTTATGGGAATGAATGAAAAAGATTGTGAGTTGGTTGGTGGGTTAGCAATGGAGAGAGAGAGATGAGAGGGGACAGGGAGAGCCACAATGTGTTCACATGGTGGACAGCAAGGCGTTGTGTACCCTCTTAACACAACCAACTTAGGCCATACATGGCCACCTATATGTTATGAGCATATATATATAATGCCATTATTCAAGTACATGTCATTTTCACCCTCTTATTCATGGGCTTCTAGCTAGGGTTTTGTTGGCCGACTTGAGCATAGCTCTTCGAGTGTTCGATGAGACACAGTTGTTTGGTATCTTAGGCGTGGAAACGTTGAAGTTTGAGACGTTTATGGGGATATACGTGATGGACATATACGTGACAGCGTTAAAAACGTCACAAAAGATTTTTGTGACGTTAAGAAAACGTCACGATAAACCGAATTTCTCCTGGTGTTTGGATTTGAGAAAGAACAATGTTCACTGACGTGGTAACTGAACGTCAACACTCATCTCTTATTGAATACCCACGAAACTTTTTTTTGACTGATAAAGATAGAGAAATGCTAAAAAAAAATATTATTAAATACCACGTTACAAATTTAAAATTATATTTAGCACCAATCACAAATTTACACGTGTCCTAAATTAATTTTAATTTAAATCAACAAATCAAATTTTGCCACGTGTCTGTCTTATGGCCATCCGATGAAATCAACTAATCTGATCAAAACTCATGAAGAGACCGGGCCTAAGCACAAATGACCCATAAAAGACCCACCAAGACTCTATAAATAGAGGAGTCACCCGTCATTTGGAAGGGGGAAGAAGGATGAGAATAGATCCAGAACAATTTGAGATTTACTTGAAGACTCCATCAAACTGCAAAGTCTTCATCAAATTGGCCGAAGAACTTCAACAAGTTGCAAAGCCAAAGAACTTCATAAGCTATAAGCCGAATAACTTCACAAGCTGCAAAGCCGAAGAACTTCAACACGCTGCAAAGCCGAAGCACTTCACAAGCTGGAAAGTCGAAAAACTTCAACAAATTGCTGAAATAGTACTTCACAAGCTGCAAAGCCGAAGAACTTCATGAGTGCAAAGCCGAAGATTTCAAAGATTATTCAATAAGCTCAAAGCCGAAGACTTCACAAAATCTTCATCAAGCTACAAGCCAAATAACTTTTATCAACAAGTCAAAGTCTTCAACAAGCTCAAAACCGAAGACTTTAAAGATCCTTCAACAAGCAAGAAGCTGAAGGCATCAACCATTGATTCAAGAACAAGCTCACAAGCCGTTAAATTAAAGCTCATATTTGAGAGAATTAATAAGAGAATTATACATTAGAGATTGTAACACCCACATTTATAAATACAACACAAGTTCATAAATTTGAGTTTTCTTTTATTGAATTTCTCGTCGAACAGTTAGTATGAAAAATAGATCCTGACTAGTCAGTACTTTTTCAATATTGTTTTTTTCGGGGAAAAGTGTGTGTTTAGAAGCCGAATTAGGTTGATGAAAGTCGTGGAAGGGATGGTTTTGAGAGGAGTAAATTAGGGTTTGGTGTATTGTTCAAACTCATGGATTTGTTCAACAAACTCTTGACAAATCCCACTCGACAGGTAGGAAAGAAAAATGCTAAAAGATTTGAAAAATAAATAGCTATCAAATTTTAGTGAAGATCGATAGATTCTGACCGATTAGTACTTAAGTATTCTTCCTGATAGGTGTGCGCGTTTAGAAAGCCTAGATTGATGAAAGTGTTTGTAAGAGATGGGTTCGAGAGGAGCAAAATGAGATTTGGAGTATTGTTGAACCATGAATTTGTCCAAACAAATTTCAGGCTTTGTTGACAAATCCACGAGACAAAACAATGGGTTCAAAGTCAAACTCACTCAAGTTGAAAGTTGATAGTTATTCAATATATAATTTTAGTTAAAATCTACTTTTTTTTTAAATAATCATTTTAGTATCTGAAAAATTAGAGGGGTCTCAGGCCGCAGATGAATGTGAATCTAAATTACTATGTTTGCTCAAAATATCCAAACAAGAATCATCTGAAAAGTTTTTAATATCCTACTCAAAATCGTTGGACGTGTAGTCTTCGTACTTTTCTTCTATAGATTATAGAATTAACTCTAAATACTAATGCACGTATCTACGATCAAGAGTCACGAGTCGTTCAAATCTCCACCCCACATATTGTACTAAAACATAAAAAAAGAAGAAATCTCCGAGCAAAGTACATTACGATCATCAAAGTTGTGTAGCATAAGGTTGCATTTTCATCTACAAAATCATTCAACCATTACAATCTTTGCAGTTTGTAAAAGAAAGTTATTTGAATACAGAGTGGTATTATTAATGAACTTAAAGGATAAAACAAGATGAATAAGTAGCAATATTCTCGTGCAATTGATCACCTTCTGAAAAAGCCAAAATGTTATTATGAGAGAACAAATTAGAATTAGTAGTCATGTGAAAGCTATACATTATTTCAAGTTTCATTTTTTTTTTGTATATTTATATATAGAAAAATTAGTCACATATCAGTTTCTTGAATAAACTGATATCAAAACATACAGAACTATCTTATTATACAAATTTTTGCGTGACATAAAGTTTTAAATCTCCCACAAAATAAAATAAAACAAAAACTTACTTTCTTGATATTGTATGATAAATTACAGGTTTCTCTATTACAATGAGAATGTATGAGAAGATATTAATTGCTTCAATTATAATTGAAACTAAGAATCGAGTGATAAAAATTAGATAAGGACATCTCTTCGATTCAATTTTACTCCATCACAATTTTCTATTCAAAATATTCTATGGAGAATACAAATACTGTTTCAATTGTTTGTTTATATAATTAAATGAATTGCAAATCATGTTGTAAAGATAGCTGTAATATATTCCAACTCTTCCAAATTTAAAAAGTTAAAAAGACAAAAATAAATAATTGTAAATCACATTCAAGACCCTGAAGATGGTATCAACAAGGTCCAAAAGATTGGGCCACCCTCTAATTTCTCTTTCTTTATAAGCCCCACTTGTTTTTCTTTCCTCTCCTTTTCTCTCAGCTTTCTCCCAAAATATATATAATATATATATATATTTTTCTTTTCCTTTTTAGCATAACGTAAACATATCTATATCTATAGTATATATAAAAGGTGGGATGAGAAGAAACTTCTATATACCATTTTTGTCCTCTCATTATAAATCTCTTCACTTTTCTTTTAATGGCGATTGTGTCATTTAATTACAAACTTTTTCTCTCTCAATCTATCTCTTCTCTCCGTCACGATCTCATCCCTCTAAATTTCCCTATTTTCTCTTACTAATCTTCTCTCTCTTAATTATTCTTTCATTAACTTTATCTTTCTCATTGATTTTTTTTAACTCCTTTCATCTACCACATACCCTCCCCCAATCCTTTCAACTTCCTAACCCCTTCCAATTATCACATATCCTCTCCCAATCCTTTCATCTTCCTAATCCCCTTCCAATCCATATATAAATATGTGTCCTCTCTTTCTCATGCCAACCAAAAATCAAGAGGTGGTGGATGGAACAAAGTGGAAAATTTTCCTAGTGTGAACGTATGAAAATTACTCTCTTATTTTAGCAACGACAACAACAATGCACATATGGGTGATCGAGAGGAGAATTGATAGTGAAAAGAAACTAAATTAAAGCTGAGTTGATGGCATCGGTTCACTTTCCCCAAATTTATCATTATTCAGATTGAAAGAAATTCTAGAGTACGATGTGTCGAGATGGTGGTCGATGGAATCGAGATAAAGCAAAATTCAATTATTCTCATAATTTGGATAATAAGAATGCTTATGAGTTTGATTTTTATTTATTTATTTTTTAAACTGATGCTTTTGATTTATATATGTGAAATGTTGTAATTATTTTTACAAAGTTAGGGCAAACAAACAATTTTTATCCCTCTCAATATCATTAGGTTGGACGTTTTAGGGTTTACTCTTTCTATCACTCTTACCTTTCTTTTTCATTCTAGAATGAACAAACTCAATGATTTAACGTCACACAATTTAACAAAGATAAAATGTAATATAATAATTTATAATCAAGAAAATTAGAGGTAAATTAAGAACGTTCATTCATTAAAAAAAAAAAAAAACTTACACGTTGGTGCTTTTTCATCTTTCTTACACTTCAAATTTGTACTTACTTTTCATGCTAATATTTCATCATCTTCTTTTATTACAACAATATCATATATTGAATTTATATTTATATATAATCACTTTCTTTCTTTAAAATGATAATATTATAAACTTAAAAAATACTATTTATTTTATTTTAATTTAGAACTACAAGATTCTACGTGCAACGCACTTGTTTCTTACTAGTACATTCAAATGGCCAATTAAACTACCTGAGATCCTTCTTCTCACCATGGTTTAAACTATATATAAAAAAACCTAATGTACAAATAAATAAAGAGGTTAGTTACTGTCAACCTGAACCTTAGTCAACGGTATAATGCTACATTTAGATATAAAATAAACTTTAGTGAACGGTATAATATCTTTAATTTATTTTAATTGAAATATAGTATAATGTTTCATTTATTTTATTTTTTCAATAATCATCCAACATAAACTAAATTGATATAAATATATTAATATTAAATTAATAAAAACAAAATTGTTATAGGAATTCAATTCAAATTATATTAAATTAATTTATTAAAATATTTGTAACTGTTGATGGCGAATTTCGGTAGAGGGCCACGTGGTTAACAGATGAGCAGTTTTGAAAACCAGCATACTTGAAACTAGAATACTAACTCCGGTGTGGTGTCCTGCCTAAAACACTCCGACGATCAAGTTAGTGATCGGAATAGAAATAGGAGTAAGACACTAGAGATATTAGTGACAGATTTTTCACTTACTTTGTGAAGATGAAGGTCCCTCCCTTTATAGACTCTGGGGCGATCGGGAAGGACGATGGTTGGAGGTGGCAGGGATGCCGCGAGTTGTACGTTTGGTCGGAGGGGGAACACGCTTCCAGTAGGTGCAGGGTGGCACCGCCACCTGCAGCTCTGGGTATGTCGCCCGCGGTTGTGGAATGTGTCGTCCGTCATACCGACAACATGCATGCGTTCCTAGCTACGCTTGTGTACGGGGTGTAACCGCCTGTGGTCCCCTATTCCCTCAAGGGCGTACATGTGTCCTGCTCGACGATGTATGCCTGATCAGAGAGATAACCGTCAGTGGTCCCTAGCCTACGGAGGAGCGGACGTGTGTCCTGCTCGAATTTTACTCGTAACAATAACATATAAATTATATAATGATGGGTAAGAGTAGGAAATAATATTCCTATATATAAATCGTGCAAAACAAGCATTGCTATTCAAAGTATTTTCAAACGATTTCTGTAAAACAAAAAAGAAGACTATCTAAATATGGCACACACATCTATAATTCCATACCTCTAATAATATTTCCTATAGATTACCAAAAAACATATTCTTTTATTTAATAGAAGAAATAATGTGATAGTTAAAAATTAATTTTTATATTCTAATTTTGAACCCAGAATCAAGATTTTAGATGTTGATGTCTATAAAAATATCAAGTTTTAGATATTGATGTCTATAAAAATATCAAAGTCTCAATTTCATGGAAATATCGATGTCGAAAGACATGAATTAAAAGATTATAAAAATAAAAAAAAATTCATAAGAAATATTTAAATCAGCACTTGACCCTTTTTAAAAAAATTAAAAATGATTAATATTAATATTATGTCGATTTACTCCTTATATTATTGTCATAGGTAGAAATATAGATGAAAATATCCATACGTGAGGTCCCTCCCCATTATTTAAGTATACCATCAAGCCATATTATATTGTTAGAATTTTGAAAAATTATATATGAACTGTAAAATCCATTATTATATATAATTAAAGAAAGAAAACTCTTTGGTTTTGACGTCCAATCACTCCTTTATCCCAAAAAAAATATAATATATGAGAAAATTGGAAGAAGCTGTCCATATAGAATCCTCCATTGAAGAGTCAGAAGGAAGAAAAATTAGAGAGCGATGAGTTATCATGAGCAGCAACCTCCTCCTGTTGGGGTTCCTCCTCCTCAAGGTAACCTCTAATTAATTACTTATTCATTTTCAACCCATTTTTATTACTAAAAAATCTTTAGGATTTAAAATTTGATTTTTTTTTCTTTTGTAGTTATTAGGATTTAAATCCAAATCTTCCTCCTCCTCCTCCGTTCTTGTTCATTTAAATTTACTTCGCAACTGATTAAAACATCTATCTCTAACCAAAAGTCATGAGTTCGAATCTCAGTATATTACATGAATGTGTGTTTTATTAAGATGATGGCTTGAATATGGATGGGTTAGAAATTTTATTGAGGGTAAAATGTAAAGATTGAGTTACATGAATATGGAATAAGTTGAGAAGTTTGGATAATAATTTTAGATGGGAATAGTTCTCATTTTTGTTGAGGTAGGCACCATATTTTTATTTACTTTCTCATTTTTAGAAGTAATTTTTAAAGTCTCAGCTAAAGTTTGAAATCACATATAGAATTTTCCAACTATTTGTTATTAATTGATTACAAACTAATTTTTAAGAAATAAAATTGAAATCAAATGACTTGTTCATATGTCTTGTTTCTGTTTCTTTATTTTTAATGAAGAAAAATATAATACATGGTTTTAACCTCCAAGAATTCAAGCATGATAAAATAATCTTTTCATTTCCATTTTGGAACAAATTGAAAATGGGAACAAGAATGGATAAACTTGTTTTGATTATTTCCAAAATTTCTATAAAATCTTGGGAATGTTCCAAAAAAAAGAAAAAAAATGAAACAAAGTTAGTTATAAAATGCTTAGATTTATTAAGAAAATTAAAAACGAGAAACAAGAAACATGGATGTTATCAAACGGGTCCAAAATGATTACGGTATCAATTTGATCATAAAGGTTTTTTTTTTAAAGGAATCAATCTGATCAGAGTTATTCTTATTTAATTTACATATATTGCTTATTCTTACATTAAGAAAACCAGCATTTTGTTTCTCAATTCTAACAGAAAAGTGGATGTCATTTGAATTGATATATAATGATGTTTTTGGCTCTTACAAAATTTTCCCTTTAAATTAAAATCATTTGATTGATTAAGAGACATTTTTAGTATACTTTATTTTAGATTTAGTCCATACTTTAAAGATATATAATGATGTCAATGACGCTATATTAAAATTTTTATTTTCATTGTCATACAAATTGGTAGATAATTTAACCACCATTTTATAATTTTATATTATAGAACATCCAATACAACAAGTGGGGTAGATATTCAAACGTACTCATGAGTTCCTTGCTATAGACAAGTGTCATTTATTGTTGAGCTAAACTCGTGTTGACTATAGAACATCTATTTAGTTTCATTCAATTGCTCATATTTAATGCATGAGATATTTTTTTTTCATCAAATTTTTAATAAAAATATGGTTAAATTACAAGCTTAATCCTTCAGTTGAGGATCATGTAATAGGTAAGTCCCTAAACTTTCAAGTTTTTGTGTAACCTACTTGGCATATTTTAAAAATTCAAGGATATGTTAGATGTAAACTTGAATTTTGGGTCTATATAGAACATGGTCTATTTGATAACGTTCCTTCCTCTTGTTTCTTGTTTATAGTTTTATTGAGAAACTTAAGTATTTGACAACAATTTATGCTTCTTGTTTCTAATTTGTTTAAAAACGTTCCCAAAATTATATAGAGATTTTAGGGAAAAAAAGTATGTTTTTGTGTTTTTTGTTCCGATTTCCAACAAAATAAAGTTTCCTAACTTTTTTCAATAAAAAACTGAAGAACAAGGCATAGTTACCAAATGTAATTATGTTTTTCTTTGTTAAAAAGAGGAAACAATAGATTGAAACGTTAACAAACGAGCTCTAGTTTTTCAATTATATAAATAATAGGTCCATACATCTTAAAAAATGTTTAATACATAGGTTAGTGATATATTTAACCTAAAATAAACATTAGAAGCTTACTATTTTACATTTAACAATTAATAATTCAGGAATATTAAGACACATTTTGAAAGAACATGGACTAAACTTATCGTTTTTCTTAGAACAAGCAAGACGAGGATCAACGTGGTTGATTTTAGGTTTAATATTGATTTTTTATGACCTATTTATCCACATGAAGGATATCCTCCGGGAGCATATCCACCACCATCATGTCCTCCTCTACATGACTATCCAGCACAAGGACATCCCCAACTCAATTCTCCTTATCCCCCACAAGAATATCCCCATGGCTACTCCCCTTATCCTCCACAAGGGTATCCCTATCCCTACCAAGGTTATCCTCCACAAGGATATCCACCCCCACACTATCCTCGTGCAGACTCACAAAATCAGTGTACCTACGTTGTAGTTCAATCTCAACAACAGCAGCCACAACAACAGCTTACTTATTGGGAAAGCTGGTAAGTTTTCTTCTCATTCTGTATCTCGACTGTTTTCGTTGTCGATAACTCAAAGAAACCGAACTATCCAACTCGATTTGAGCTAGGGTTAGGTTAATAAGTTGTTTGGATTGACTTTGGTTTCGATACACGATCTAATTGCATTGTTGTAGTTTGGTTGGATAGGTTTCCACTTTAGTATTTGAACTTTTCAACTTTGACACCTACTTTCTACATTAACGGTTTCTTTAACATTATTTAAAATCTAAGACATTGTAACTTTCATTGTATTTCACATTCAACCCCTATCATAAAGATAATAATGTGAATATAGTATACGAATATGGATAAAGTATATATAACATTTTCTCCAAAAAAAAATACATATAATTAATATCTTACGGGTAGAAAGTTCAGAAACTCATGAGGTACGTCTAGGTCAAATGATATTTAAACTTAATTCCGTTAAAATCATACCATTATAATCTAAAATACGAAGGAATGACAATGTAGGCTAGGCATAAGAAGTTCAAAACTTATGATCACCTATTGTGTGTTTGGACATACCGTAAAATCATCCAATAGACCCAAAAAGTTAAGCTCCGATGGGTTAATATCAGTTAAATCCTTTATACAAAGGGTAGAAAGCTTATGTTAAAATTATATTTTTTTTTTAGTAATAAAAACCTTGGTTTGGATGTAAATTTTGTAGTTTGGCTCTCATTTGTTGTTGCTGCCTTTGGAACCTTGGACTTGGATGCTTATACTGAAGAGGTTGAATGGTATCATTTTAATAAATATGGAAACATTTGTGTAATATCAAGTTGGTCCCATATATCAAAGCATTTGCACATTGTGTTATGTATAGATACAATAATATTAGATGCAATTTGACAAACTGGGACTTTTAAATTGATTTACAAATTTATGCCATTTGTGTATGTTTTTAATAATTTTAGCTGTTTGAAAACTATGAATCTTTCTGACCTTTTTTTATTATAGTTTTTATTTTCTCTATATATTTCTATAAAAAAAATCAAATTAAAAGGGGTAACATTATTATTTGATCAATAATAATTTATAAAAAAATAACATCTTAATATAGTATATTTTTTTTTAATTCAACAACATGTGTCATGTGTGAGGGTGGAAATTCGAACTTTCAAAACCTTATAGTCTCGATTATATATGATTTAAAGCTATACTCAGGTCGATCATTTGATTCGTAGATTAATGTTTATAAATAACACTTAAAGTAAGGATGTCTTAAATATTTAAAAATTGATGGGTTGATTTCAACTCCCAATGTTTGCGTCTAAATTTGACTCCAAAGGTAATTCATGGTATGACTCCAAAAATTGTGAGGATTGGAGATGGGAAAATGATCAACATCTCTTCATTCAACTATGTTTAGGATTAATATTTTCTTGATAAGTTAAAAACCATCAAATATTATTGTACAACTTTTTTTTTAACCTAAGTACAATTTCATGTTAATGAAAATTCAAAATTATTCACAAACATTGTATCCCATTATGCGTGGATCATCCTTGATAGATAAATACGTTAAGCATATTATTAAAAAAAGAAAAAGGTATATATATCTCAATAAACCCTCATTAGATGTCAAAGCGAGCATAACTCAGCAGTAATTGTCATATATATCTCAATAAACTCTCATTAGTTGTCAAATCGAACATAGCTCAACAGTAATTGTCATGTATTTCCAATCAAGAGGTTGTGAATTCGATCTCCACCCCGTATGTACTAAAAAAAATAATTAAATAAATAAATAAACCCTCATTAGATTGACGTAATGCCAATTAAATTTTTTTAGAGACTCTATCCACCCACTTATTTGAAATATTAAAATCTTTTCAACGTCATGGTTATAATATATTAATGATTAGAATATAAATTTGATCTATAGTTTGTTAATAATTTGAATTTGGTCCTATGTTTGGGTTTAGTTAGGTTCATTTTCGTCCAATGGTTTGGGTTTAATTCTATAGTTTAAAGTTAGTTTCAATTTCATCCCCATTGGTTGGTCAAATCTCATAATTTGTCTCTAAATTGTGCTTTATTCACATGAATATATAAAAGCCCACTCATTTTCTCTTATATTGTTTACTTTCTAATTAAAATCCAATACAACCAATTAACATAATTAATTTGCCAAATTGAAATATTAAATCAATCACTTGAAAGAAAATGACAATTTGTTAGAGAGAGACAATTTATGAAGTCAAACTAAAATTCTCAAAAGTATAAGAACTAAATTCAACTAAACCTAAAAAATAAAGACTAAATTAAAACTTTTAAAATCATAATAACTGAATGTATAATTTAACCTATATTCATTTTTAAAAAAACTATAATTTTTAAAAACAATAAAATATATATATCTATATATATATTATTTGACGAATCCTAGATTACTTTTCATCTTTTTTTTTAATACGGGCGCTTAATGTAATACGAAGTGTTAACCATCATGGGTGGTTCATTGGTCCAAACGGGTTAGGGTAATTAAGAGGGAATAGATTCAAATCTCATGATGGTCACGCACCAAATGTTGTAGGGTCATTAATTGCACTTCAATTGGACAATGCCTAACTAAGTATTTGTGGTGGGAGCAAACGGATGTGGAGTACGTAAAGTAATCACAAGAATCTTAGTGAAAATTTGCGTAGGAATATGTGTAAAGAATTTTTACCTACATTGATTCAGGTTCAAGTGTTGCTTTTATATGGAGACAGAAAGAAAGGCTAATGGAGGTGTGGGGACTACCAACACTATGATGATCCTCCCCTGTCTAGTTGTGAGGTGCGGCGGCGTCCAAGATGATATCCTGACTCGTGTTAGGATTCGTTGCTTGGTGTCAGGTGCGCTCGACCCTTCAATCCAGTGCACTCTACGATAGGCGCAATGCACTTTGCCTCCCCTAGCTTCTTTGACTTGGGCCTAGTCTGCGTGACAAGTTGGGAACCTAGACACGTGCCTCCTCGGATTTACTTGATAACATATATCTTTGATATTTTTTTAATTAAATTACTAGTTTAGTGTATGAACTTTTAAGTTTGTATCTAAAACGTCTCTAAATTTTAAAAAGTGACTAATAGATTCTCAAATTTTTAATTGTATGTCTAATAGGTCCTTTAAGTTTAAAAGTATCTAGTTGGTCTAAACTTTCAATTTTTGTATCTAATAAATCCTAGACGAACTTTCAATTTGTGCCTAATAGATCATCAACCTATTCAACATTTTTAAAATTCATGGATCTATTAGACACAAAATAGAAAGTTTAGGGTTCTATTAGACACAAACTTAATTTTATGTCTAATAGATCTGTTAAAGTTCAATAACCTATTGCCAACTTAAGTTTAGTTCGTCAAAATGAGCATAGCTCAGACATTAATTATTTATTATGTCTAATAGATCGGTTAAAGTTCAATAACCTATTTCCAACTTGAGTTTAGTTCGTCAAAATGAGCATAGCTCATACATTTATTCTTTATTATGTCTAATAGATTTGTTAAAGTTCAATGACATATTGCCAACTTGAGTTTAGTTCGTCAAAATGAGCATAGCTCAGACATTTATTCTTTCTCTTGAAGTCGGAAGTTCAACTCTCATATCCCAAATTTGTTGTACTAAAAAATAGTTGAGCTTAGTTCAACTGGTTAAGATACCTATTTCCGACCAAAATAATACTATTCGGGGTTGAATAACAAGAAAGAGTCAAATTTTTATAATGATGGTTTTTTAAAATTACTATATAATATACTTTTTCAAATATAACTTGTAACATGTCTATTTATTAATGTTGTATCCACAATGAAGTTTCTAATATACTATAGTGTGAAAATGAGATTTCTTCAGGGATAAGTAATGACCTAAATACCTAATTGCCTCAAATAAGATATCCTTTGAGCATTATTAGTTCTTCCCTTCCACAAAATACAAAGGAATAGCAATAGAAAATTAATACAAATTTGTAAAATAATAATAAAAAATAAGAAGCAAATAATTGGTTAAAACATACCTGTCATGGTCTTTCTTCAAATAATATTCCACCATATGCTCCCAATTTCCAAAGGCTTTGTTGTTTTCAAATATTCTTCTCTCTTTACAACTTTGAAGACAAATTATTGCAAGTCAATAAGCTTGTCATTTTCTTTATGTTTCTTTTATATATAATTGAATTAAAATAACAAATCATTGAGTAAGTCTACAGATTTTAATAAACAAAATTAAACCTATGAAAAGTAATATTTAATCTAACCGTTGAAGATTATATTATATGGAGCAACATAAAAATTATCATCCAAGGCTGGTTGATGAAATCGTCAAAAGCTGATATTTAAAGAGAAGGCAAGAGGCATTACTTGATAAATATTGAAACTAAATTCGATGGTTCTATATCACTATGTTAATTACCAAATATTTTGGTGATGTTTATTTCAAGAGAATTAATATTTAATTGAAAATGTTCCAATAAAAATAAATAAATGAGGAATAATTTTATGCGAGAAACCATCCCACTAGTTTTTAAGAATTCATTTAGGGGCCGTTTGTTTCGTGGAATCCAAGATTTCCTGAGACGGTCATCTGGATTCTTATGTTTGTTTCGCGGTAATGTAAGATACCCGGAAATCTCGAGATGCCCAGGTATACTCCAATGTTTGACATTTTGACCCCTTTTTTATGTTTTCATATATTTTCTTTTATCAAATTTCTTTAATTTTATTTGTAATTTTATAGTTTAAATAAATTAATATACTCATCGACTAATAAATAATTTAGTATATTTATATATTATATGTACATATAAAACAAACTTCAATTAAATTATATAATATCTTCATTTACTTTTAATATTTGGAATGAATTATTAGGAATAATATCTATTATCTTAAATACATCATTCTAAAACAACAATTTTTTAAGGATGAACTTATCTTTGATATTTTTCTTCTTAAAATAATACAATTTGATAATATAATAAATGAGTTTTACCCCATATAATATTTATTATATAATTGTATTTTTAAAAAATATTAAAATTAAAAATAAATTTATATTTAATATTAATTATTTTTTAAAAGTCTTGTATTAATATGAATTCTACCTCATAATATAATACAAAAAAACTAATACATATACGTAATTAATATAAAAAACCTAAAATATTAAATTAATTATAATTAAGAAAATCTATTATATAAATACAAATTTTATTAGATCAATGTAAAAATTATTGAATATTCATTAAGGACATTTTTGGAACATTATATAAATTTAAAACATTCTGATTAATAAATCATGCAAAACAAATGTTGACTATCTAGATATTCTCGGACATCCTTATATATTTTTCTACGAAACAACCGTAGTCATCTAAAGATGTTGGACATCTCAAATTCCGGACATTTGCATTCCCAAAAAATAATCGATCCCTTAGTGGGAATTTTACGGGAATAGAGAATAAATGGAAGCAAAAATGGGAAAGTCATATCCTCATTTGTGTTCCGTCCCAATAATACTTCTACTTATAAGATCAAAACAACAACCTTAATATTTATAAACATGCTAATCATAATTTTTTTTAAAGCAAAAGTAAAGATCTGAAAAAAACGAAGCTCATTTGAAATTTGAACTTGATTTTCTCCTAAAGTAGCATAATCAAATTAATAATGCCAGTCACGTGGTTTATGCGTATATGAAGACGGGCTTAGCTGTAAATCAAATCTTGATCATGTGTGGTACGCCCCACCCACTTTACTGTACGCCTTTTCTAATTATTATTATTCTTTTCCTATTAAAGTGAATCTAAGATAATGCCGTTCGAACGCGTTTTTCGCTGATGCACAAAAATCAGGACCGTCGGATTTGTTGACCGCGTCTTGACTAAAGTTCAGAGATCGAATAAAATTTGAAGTTAGTTTTGATTGTCTTTTTTCTTTGGAAGATTTAAAATATTGTCCATTAATACTTACTCATCCACTCGAAACACTGGACGATAAGCTATAACATATTTAATATGGTAATGACTTGTAATTAATACAGACGACTTGTAAGATTTAAATAAACTATAGTGACCTATTTAAAATATTTAACGAAAATTGAATAAATAAAGAGCGATGAAGGAAGTATGAGTTGGTGTATTATTCCATAATCGACTGATTTAGAGAAGAAGATGAAGCAGTTGGATTGATGTTTTAATTTCGTCCTGTTCTCTAGCCATGTTAAGAAAGAAGAGCAGGCAAAAAAACAAGGAAATCACCAAAAAGAAACTCTCAGAAAATGACGTGAGTAAAAAAGCTTCTGATACCATATTAACACCTAAAGAGTAAATTAACTATCGTTCATTTTATTCCATAATACAACGAGATACATATATGTTTGGTAATTACCAATCTAATCAACAACTAATTACTTGACCATCGAACAAACTTAAACCAAACTAAATAATACTAATAAAAAGAAAAGTTAGGTTAAACTATACTATTAGTCTAGCGTTAAAATTTTCGATTATTTATAAAATATACATGACAATAATAAATTTTGACTTTTCTGATTCAAAATCAAGAGTGTTGCAGTTACAGTCAACTACAATCAAACTTTCAACATAAAAAATCCAACTATTATATAGTTTTAGTTACAATAACTAAACTCTAATTCAGGTATAACTCGAGAGTTAAAATATTTATTACTTTTTTTTTAAAGTTGAAAGTTTGATATCAACCAAGTATTACTCCACCGGTAAAATGGTTGAAATTTGCATCTTCACCTTACTTTTGTTGAAACAAACAAGTATATGGATCAAAACCTTACAAGTAGATACAAATTTTTTTTTGTACATGGATAAGAATTTTCCCAATTTTTTTAATAATAACGATTAAATTATAGTTGCCGTTTTTCCTTTTCGAAAATCGAAATAACTGCGAAATTTCCGCGTAAATTAATATAATATTTATTGTTTAAAATAATATAAAGAAAAGAAAATTCCGGTCTTCGGGTCATCCTTTTCCTCCATAGTTTTATAGTTATAGTTCTCGTCTCTCTGTTTGGCAACTAAGAAATCAATCCCATCGTTCAAGAAATCTCACAGAGAAAGTGAGGGAAAATGAGTTACTACAACCAGCCACCGCCTCCCGTCGGCGTCCCTCCGCCGCAAGGTAACATCTGAAACTAATGCTCTTAGTTCTCGATTTCTTAATTTCACTGCATTTTCGTGGATTTGGAAGTTCCGAATCAACAGATCTTGCTGTTTTTCGCGAAATTGATGTGCTCCTCGTTCTCGCATCGCGCTCGTGATTCGATTTGACCGATTTTTGGCTGTGAATGTCGACGATTCTAGGTTATCCACCGGAAGGTTATCCCAAGGACGCTTATCCACCGCCAGGATATCCTCCGCAGGCCGGTTATCCTCCTCCAGGTTATCCTCCGCAGGGATATCCACCGCCGGCGTACGGTCCGGCGTACGGTCAACCTCCGCCTCAGCAGCAACAGCAACAACAAAGCGTTGGATTCTTGGAAGGCTGGTAAGTCTCCACTCCTCTTCCGTTCTTAACTTTACCTGATGCGATTTAAATGGCGTTTCGGAGTTCAATTTGAGTCAATGCGTCCTCACGGCGGCGAAATTGCGCTAACACAGTTATGGATTAGATAATTAATCTGACCTTGTGCGGCGGAGATATCTCGATTTTCGAATTTGTGTTTCTGTTTTTTGTAATTTTTTGTTTGGAATCGGATCGATCGCTGTTTTCTTGTTGGGGGATGTGGAAACCGTCGAATCGTAACGGGCTGACACAGGTTGCAAAATCCTTGCTCACATGAACATAGGCGCAGTTATTGGGGAATTTTTTTTCTAAGAAAAAGTATTTTTCGTTTTCTTTGGCGATCCAATCGATGCTTGTTTTTAGAAAATATGGAATATACTTCTAGAAATTATTCTACAGTTTTCTTTTTCAATTATTAGAATTCTTTGTTTTTAGTCAATTTTGTTTCTTTTTAAATTTTCATTTAGTTTAATTTCTTTCTACTGTTTCATATCTCACCAACCAATTAAACAGCATGTTCTAACTTGATATTCAACATTTGCATATAATAGTTATTTCATAGAACAATTATTTTGTATTTATTCTAAGAATGAAAGGTATATTAGCAAATTATGTGGTCTATACAACTTACTCATCAATTATGAGTTTTATGAAATCTTACTGTTGTTTTTAACCAAATTATAAACATTGTCTTATTTTGTTGTGTGTCAAACTTAATGAGTTAGAGTATATTTAATCTTGTTGTTAAATATTTTTTAGTTGAAATTATATATTTATCGTTGAGGTTGAGTGCTTTCTAACCTCTTTGATTATACTTATAATTAGGTTGTAGTAATTGAGTTAGCTAATTCTCTAATTTATCTTTGTAGAGTTATTAATATCATCAATTATTTATTCTATAGATGAAGATGTTTACTAGTCATCACTCAATATTTGTGTCAACCACCACAAAAATTTGACAACTCTGAAAAATATGAAAAAAAAAATATATTTTTTCTGCATTTATTTCTCCAACTCGTAAACAATTAATAGTGGTCATTAAACGATGAAAAAGTACCAAGTATTGAAATATGAAGTTGAATTAGATAAAATTGGAAGTTTGAAATTAAAATTGATTTATTGGACTGGGGAAAAATGACTTCTTTTTTTTTCATTTAAATATGATTGTTTGTAATTATATGTGAATGAAATTAAATGGGGTGATTAAATAATATATGCAAAAGCTAATTATGAGGTGGTCTAAAAATTTTGCAGTTTGGCTGCTCTTTGTTGTTGCTGCCTCTTGGATGCCTGCTTCTAGTGACGGCCTTTTCTGATTGATCAAACGGCGTACAGAACTCGAATCCCCATTTTGATTTTAAAATTGAAATTGAATTTGTTTTCACTGTACAATGTTTCATTTCCATCTCCCCTTTGTCATACTGTGTGTAAACATCTCTCTCTTTATTCTTATTTATCAACTCCCATCTCTCTTCAAATTTCATGAACCTTGCTTTTGAAGAAGAATTGGTTTGCAACATTCATTTTATTGTTTATTTTACTGACGGTGATATTTTATCGGTGAACACCTAAGTTTTATCTACCTTCGTTCAACTGTTTTTAACTTGATATGAGATTAAATTGTACATCGATAAGTAAGAAATGTGTGCATGCATAATGAGAGAGAAAATATTAATGTTTAATTTGTTCAATGAAATAGCACATTTTTCTTTTTAATCTTTCTTTGATATGTTAGAGAGGAATGTAACTTTTATGTGCAATTGCATTGGTATGTTTCTTTTTAATTGAATGATGTAAATCAACCAAAAAGTAGAAGTACAAGGAATAAAATTGCATGCAAACTATCAATAAGAATATAGTATCTTAAAAGAGAAGAGGGATAGAGGAGCTTATGCTATAGTTGAATTCATAATACTAGAGATGAAATTACATTCAAGAAAGTTAAAAGTTCAACTAGTTAATGTATCTAGCCGTAATCAAAAGATTGTGAGTTCGAATCTATATCAGTACTTTTTGTATTAAAAAAATATTTAGGAATAAAACTTATTAGGATTTAAGTTTACCAATGTATATTAACTTAATTCAGTTGTATTGTGTAACTTGGGTAACTGCTTGTACAGTGGTCTCAGAGCGATAAATTTTTTTCGTGAGAGTTCTTTGCGGGTCCCACCATTTCTTTGGCCTTTCTTGTTTCTTCCGCCTTTCTTCTTGCTTCCTCGCCACGACTCCGCTTCTTCGCCACAACTTTCTCGATGGATTCTTCAACTCCGATTGATTTGCCTCCACCGCTGGTTCCACCTGGTGTTCCGGCCACTTCTGCAATTCCAGCAGCATCCTCTTCGACTCCGTCTCCTTTTGATCAACACGCCAGTCCTTATTTCATCCATCATTCTGATAACACAAGTCTTGTTCTGGTGTCCGATTTGCTCACAGATGAAAATTACACGTCCTGGAGCCGTTCTATGACTATTGCTCTTACGGTCAAGAACAAAATTGGCTTTGTTGATGG